TCCGAGAGCTTTTTGTTCACACAGGACATTTTAATTGAGTGTTTTTGTTCGCAGTGGCTTTTGTTCTCGCTCAGTCACAAAATCATGCCTCTGCACAGCAACACTGGAAGAGAATGTGGTGCTCAAGACAAGACTTATTTGTTAGGCATCATCATCGACAAGGGGAGAGTCATTGAGAGGGTGTGAGCTACATTTAGTGTGGTCACTGAATAATTAACTAATGTGAAGCTTTGGAGCTTTTTAGTTTGCTTTTTACCATGAATATTCATTCAAATTCTGTGATGGTCATAATTTCTGGGGATATAATTAAGGGTGGAACATTAAAAGTGAAAAGGCTTTAGTTAGCAATTGAACATCCCCTTGTCAGGGTGCCTCAATAACTAATGATGTGGCTTTGATGGCAGAATATAAGCCATGTTTTGGCTTCTGATGAATAAGCTCTTGAATAATGCATTGAGAAGTTCCGCCTCATTAAAGCCCATAATAATTGTCTTGTGTCGATTTAACAAGCCATTTAAAATTACATGTTATCCTTAAGTGACCTTGATTCGGTGGATAGCCAACAATTTGCGCGATTCTTGGGAAATTGAAGAGCAATTCGAATTGCATGCAATAATAGCGCAATGGGAATTGAATTGCTGGATTGTTGAGCCTGTTGTTGGATTTGTCGCTCAATGCTCACGAGAGGGTTGTTAGGCAGGGGTTGAAAAACAATTGCTGACATACGACAGAAACTTTCTCAATTACTTCTCGGGCGCTTTGTGATATTTCCCCGCGTTCAATGCAAGAAGTCGACGGATTTTCTTTATGAGACTCGACGTGGTGAAAAATTGCCTGGTGGTTGACTTAATAGATGGAATGGAAGTAAAGGGGGAGATAATGCGTACGCCACTTCCTGTTACTTCCATAGTTTCTGTGAAAAGCAATTAAACTACAGTGACTTTTTGAGTCTCATTTGTATGTCAATTCTTAACTTGTCTTGTAATGTCTGGAAGAGTTTTTTTTAACCCCCCCCGCCCCCCCCCCCTGAGAATTTGCTTGACAACCAAATAGTAACCCTCTGACAACCAATTTACAAATTTTATTACTGGGAGTGAAAATCTGCTTGAAGACACTCTTTTTGTCATTTTCTGCTTTCAACTATTAATACAGTTAACAGATTTTGATAACATTGTTCAGAACTTTACATAGTCAAAGTAAGAAGTTAGTTTTTGGTTAGAAATCGGTTAGAATTTGGTAATAAGCATAAAATCTCTTTAAATAAGTCAACATTGCCAAGTAGTTAAGAAAATAGTTGATTTAGCCATTAAATCCTTGATTAAATCTGAACAGAAGTATTGGAGTCTCAATATATTCCCCTTGGACGGAAACAATGTTGATAGCTGTTAGTTTCTCATGTAATTAACACAGTGTTATTGAGACCTTCCCCGGCGGCTCGGGATCTCACGTGACCTCCTTGGCGGGGTCTCTTGAGTGCCACGAAGACAAGCGGCGTGACACAGAGTTATATATTGTGCTGAAATAGTTCACAGTGGCGAAGAGAGACTCTCTGTTACATGAACTCGATGCCATGTCGCGCGAAATGGGCAAAAGTTTCATATTATCGCAGCAATAAAGGCTGCCGCTCTGCCAGATGTTTCCTCGCCTCTGGTGTCCTTCTGGTACACAGAGGAGAGTGTCTTGGAAAATTCATAACATGATACACTCTCAAATGAGATCCTCGAGGAATTTTTGAGTCTCTGCAGAGATTTATACAATTACGCCCATGAAAGTCCCTCCGTTCTCTCGCCCTCGTGCCAATGTGGTGAACTTTTGCGCCAGAAAAAGGGCCGCCAGAGCCTCTCACTCTCTCCCAAGGGGGATGATGAATGATGGAGGTAAATTAAAAAGTGCTCGAGATGCACAAGGGATGAATTGGCCCTGCGGAATTTTGCTGGGAATGTGAAGTAAAAAAAAAATCCACATTTACCCCCCCAAAAAGGAGATGATAAATTCACGTGTGTGTGCATGGAGGAAAATCTTCGGCCATCACACAAGTATTTCGCACTAAAGGGATTCTCATGGACAACCTGGAGAAAGAAGAGAATTTTCCCTGAAATTTTCATGAGCAACAATTCCACCAAAAGCTCATCACTTTTTGTCTGACAACGCCACAAAAGAGATTCGCGGTGGTAAAAAGTGTTCAGAAGCGGTGGGAAAATTTGCACTCCGCGCAAGAAAATTGCCCATCATTTCATGGATGAATCTGATGGTGGGCTTTTGTGTGATGCTGAAGAATTGTGAGCTCAGTGGCAAAGACTCCTTTTGCTCACTGGCAAGTCAATCTTTTAATTTATAATGCTCTTAATGGGAAAAAGAGAGAGAACTTATAATCAAGATAAATGCCTTTAAAGTTCTTGTGGTGGAAGCAAACGAAAAGATGGGAAATGCTTAAAAACTTCTGATGCTCAGGCTTAACTCACATAAACAGCATTACCTGAATTTTGCGCGAGAGAATTAAGAAAAAATTGATGGATTTTCGTATTTATCTTTTCTAAAAATTCTCTTTGAGATTAAACTTCTACACTACTTTTCACCATTTGCAGCACATTTCTCCAATTAAATTTTCCCTTAAACAATTTGAACAACATTCCCAGAGTGCATCTGAAATAATTCAATTAATTTTTGTGGCAGAGAAAATTGCACGAAATTAAAAACAAATATTTGCACTGACGGTAATTAAAATTTTAAATCAATATCATAGCTATGCTTAAAATCTCTGTTCATCTTGTATCTAACTAAATTACCAACGGAAAAATCATTTATTAAATTTACTCCCCAAAGGTTCCTCCCCCCACTTGTTTGGCTGGCCCCTTTTTGCCTATCTCTTCTATATGTGCCGCCTTTTTCTGCTGTCCTGCGGATCGTGGTGAAAGGGATGAAGTAATTTTTGCGATGATCCTTCCGTTTTCGCCCATTCATGCCGGGATTCTGCTCTCCTTTTTTTTCACCCCATCCCGACGAGGCCAACACAGCGGAGTGTATGAATAGCCTGAGCTTTTTCGCACTGTCGTCTTGATTAAGGGAGTTCCCAAAATCCATTCTCTCTAACTTATTCATGACGGGGCGGACGAACAGGCGCTCAGCAGATTTATCTCATCGCTCCACGATGAATAGTTGGCCTGAATGTTGCGCGGCTGGGAAATTAATTTGTGGCCATTTTATTACTTCCACGGACAATCTCGGGCGACGCGGCCGGACAGAGGCGCTCAGCGGGCTGTCCTTCCGGAGATGTTCGCCCTAATGGCGGTGTAAAAGTGGCTACAAGTGTTTTGCATTAGAAGGAGGGCCAGCATGGTGGGTTCAACAGGACTTGCTCACGAGCCCCCGCCATCGCCGTGAGAGATAATGTACGAACGTGGTTTAGGGAGAGATAATATGGCCAAACTGTGTACACCACTTCCACAATTAGTGTGGAACATCCTTTGCCACAACTCCTTGCACTCCTTCAGCTATTCTTACATTTATTTCTAACTTATCTTCATTATTAGAATTAAGGTTTTGTCACACATCCACGAGCGCTGGTTTTGAGGCGCTTGTTCTCAATTCTCACAAAAATATCAAATATTTCTTGCTGAGAATTGTGTCAATTTTCCAAGAAAGCGCTCTTGACAAGAACTTCAACTTCCCGAGACTCCTGTACACTTCGTCCGGCAGCAATGTCTGCCCCTTGGCTTGGACCCGTCCTCTGAGCCGAATCGATACCTTTCCAGTGACGTCAACGGACCACCTTGAACTCCGAGGGAAATCGATGCGCGGGTGTAGAAAAGGGACTGGCAAATTTTCCCGAGAGAGCGTGGGAAAAATTTTATCCTGCACTCGAAATGTTCTCATGTTCAGATTAGCATTCATCGACTTTCCGTCACGGCGGCCAGAGTTTATCCATCTGCACATCGCATTGATTTCTCCGGCGCTCGCCATGAATATTTAAGCAGTCTTCTGCACTTCGAGGGTCCCACAAACAATTATGTAATATGCGAATATGGGCAGAAGGGAATATTTGGCCTCAGAGGAGAGCTCATCGTCTTGGAAGTCGGCCAAGACGATTCCCAGGAAATTTCACTCAATTGTCACCACTGCTTTTATCTCAGAGGACTTCATTGGGAGAGCGAAATATTGATGTAGAAAATGCTAAATGGCTTTTCCTCAAATTGAATTACACTCCACATTCAGCGAGTTAGAAACAATTGCAAATGTCTGCAATGGATTTGTCAATGGAAGAGCGAATCTATTTCTGCACTTTTCTCATGATTCCATTAAGAAATGAGCAAAAGAAAATAACTCAATTTCATCTCATCAGAGAATTTCTCTTGCAACTTGTTAATTATGAGTGATAATAATTGACTTTCCGCGACCTCTTTAACTCTCACCTGCGAATTCACGATCAAAATGGGTCATAAACAGAATAATTTCGAGCTTCAAAAGCCCAAAATGTTGATTTATATATGAATATTGAATTTTTCCGCCTCTTCTCTCCCTCAGAATTCTGAAGTGCGTCAGCGACACGTACAATTAAATCTCGATATGAAAGGGCTGAAATTCTCTCCGGCAATTCTGGCTGAAATGTTGAAGTTATGCTGAGGAGTGACGATGAGTTGTTTGCTGGGAAAATTGCGAAGAGGGATGGAAAATTGGTGACATTTTCCAACTGTTCGTCATATATTTTATGTATAGATGCTTTGAATATTGCGTCATATTATTGAGTAATTACAAATTGTCGGCCTCAGGAAAGACTAAAATCTGTACAAAATATCTTTCAAAAAGTACAGAAATTTCAACACTTCAGGCACTCGTTTCTAAATAAGTGATTTTCTACCGAGACAATAGGGGAGATTGGGGCAAAAAACGTTCATAGATTACGATTTTGTGCGATAAATATGGCGGCAATTCGGAAGCGATCATTCTTGACGACTCTATGAGCTGGATATATTGAAGAGTGATGACTTTGTGTTTTCTTTCAGAGCTTTGCGAGGCTGCAACGCGGATTCAGGCCACTTTCCGCGGCCACTTGGCGCGCAAACTGGCCACCGGTGCTGAAGTGAAGGACGACGATGATCTTTCGGAGATCACGAAGAAGGTTAGAGAGATTGAGAGGCTGACTTTCTCGAATTCCACTGATAATTCAATTTTGTGCTTCAGGTTGCCGAAGAGTTGGATATCGACTTGAGTGATCCGGAACTGAACAAAGCGGCCACGAAAATCCAGGCATCTTTCCGGGGCCACAAAGCTCGCAAAGGCGATGGAAAGGATTAAATTAGCAACTCTCTTACTCTCTCAACCCACAACAATTATACGTACTTCTTGAGAGAAGGAATAACTATAAATACAAGTGAAAAAAATACCTTTAACAAAATATTTAGCAGAAAAATTTAAAAAGTGAAGAAGACAGTGATGAAGAGTATATAAAAAGAAAATGTTCTATAGAATTGACGCTCATTTCACCCATATATATATGATGAGATCTTGTTTCTGGAACGAGAGACCGTAGATTTTCAGAGTTCTCCTTCTCTTCGGCGGAAACCATGTCAATTTATGCCTTTTTGTATCACCATTCTGGCATTTTTGGGTGAATGGCGGAGAGAAATCGATCGGCAAAGTAGTGTTTTCAGTTTGGTCATTGAGTCATTTTCCCCCAGACAGGCAAAAAAAAAGAGAAAACAATGTGAATAAAAACCAGTACATTCGTTCATCCCTCAATGAAAAGCTCTGTGACTTTTTATCACAATGAAATTTCTTACCTCTTTTTACCAAAAGAACATGTTAAAGGAAAAAAAACAAGAGTGAAAACCTGGGATTTTTCTATAGGAAGCCTAATTGAAGTAAATCTTCTCACATCATGTGTATTTTCTTTTTCCTCCCCCCCCAAATAGAATGTAAAATTGAGTGCTTTATTGAGAATTATTTAGGCTAATTAGAATAATTTTACACGCAATAGAAATCCTTTGTTTCTCGCTTTATGAAAATGTATTAGCAATTTCTCCCCTTAAATGATTGAAAATAAATTCTTGCCATAGGACAACAGTGTTTTACAACTCTCAAAAGTGCCATTAGAACTTCTGAGATGGTGGAAAGAAACTTCTTCAACGAGATATGGCAATAAATTGGTGGAAATAATAAATTTTACATGGTTTTGGCGCTGTTTTTTGGTTCTTGCGCTCTTGGCGCCAAATCCAATAGGCTTTTTCTCCTTCCAGCACACCAGCGCCACCGCAGTGAAAGTCTCTTCTTGCGGTGTAACTGGGCGGTGTTTGTTTATATTCCTTCTTAAGTGTGATTATTGGCCAAAATACGAAGCAACATCCACCGGAAGTGTATCCTAAACCCTCCTGAAATCATGTTCAGCATCCGGAAGTTAGTGGTTCCCACAATCGGAAGTGCATTTCGCCAAATTGTGCAGAGGAAGCAAAATGTGAGGTTAAGTTCCACATACAGGGCAGCGATTCTCACGGAATTCAATAAAATCCCCAGGATTGAGAGGATGAAGGTGCAGAATGAACTCTTCCCAGGCCAGGTGAGGTAGTTATTTATCATTTTGTGGTGCATTTTTGTGGAATTGTGAGTGTTTTTCAGGTGAAAATCGGCGTTCACTTCTGCAGTCTCAACTACACTGACGTCCGGATCATGGAAGGCAGTCAGGAAGTGGAGCTTCCGCTGGTGCCGGGCTCTGAGTTCTCTGGTGAGATTCTGGCTGTGGATCCGGACAATCGACTGGACTTCAGCGTGGGCGATAGAGTGTTGGCGCTGAGAGGACATCTCACCAGTTGCGGCGGTCTGGCCAGTGAAGTGATCCTCAGCGAGATGGACTGCTTCCTGCTCAGCGACATCTCCCTCAAGGACGCTGCAATCCTGCCCTATGGCCACGGCACCGCCATGCTGACATTCTCCAAGTACTGCCCGCTCGACGGTGAGTCGTTGACGCGCGCGCGAAAGAGAGAGAGGAATTCGTGACGCTTTTCCTATTTTCCAGAGAACGACACGGTGATTGTGATTGCCGGTCCCGGAGGTCTCGGCCTGGGCGCCATTGAGGTGGCATCGAGTGTGTATCGCGCCCGGGTGATTGCCATCTGCGACACGGAAGACAGCAGCATTCTGATCCGCGACGAGGGCGCCTTCCAGACCATCTGCATGTCCGAGGGCTACGCCAAAGTGTACAGATTCCTCAAGAGCGCCCTCGGCGATCGGCGCGCCAAGTGCATCTACGACGCCGTGGGCGGCGAGGCGCTCCACTTGCTGCAGGACTTTATCGATCCCGTCGCCGGACGTCTCATCACTGTCTATCCGCTCTTCGACGCGGAAGCCTTCAAGAGCGCCACGCCGGACTTTGGCGTGCGGCAGAAGGATCGCGTGGACAGGACAGCGCTGGAGAAGCTGCCGCCAATCCACGAGCGCGTGCAGCACGTGGATCTGTACAGCTATCAGTATCAGGACAGGGAGTTCTTCCGCGGCATCATTGAGGAGACTCTCGAGCTGTACAGCGAGGAGCTGATCAGTGCACACGTGAGCAAAGTGTTCACGCTGGAGCGACTCGAGGACGCAGTGTCATTCATCAAGCAGAAGAAGTGCACGGGAAAAGTGCTGATAGAAGTCCGGGAAGACGATTCCGATGAGTCTGACAACGAGGACAAGCGCAAGAAGGATTAGTGGTGAGTTGCTTAACATTTTTGCGATATAATTTCGTGTGTGTGTTTGTGGAGCAAAAGTGTGTCTCGCGAGACGGATTTTTTTTCGGGTTATTATAACACAAAACACGATGAGATTGAGGCGATAGGAAAGTGTATCTCTCTCTCTTAGTGACGTTGGTGAGGGAATTTGTGGGCCAGTTCTGTCGCGATTGCGTCAGGTCGGAAGTGTGACCATTTCGAAAGTGCGCTCCCATTGAGAGTTGCATGATTTGGCGCAAAAATCCACTCTTAACCCTTTCATGGCGATTGATTGCGACACATAAGGCGGAAAAGTGTGGAATTCTGAGAAAAATAGAACTCCAACTCCAAAAATGGAGTGATTTTCGAGTCACTTTTTGCCATTTAGAGACCAAATTCAAGCTTGAGAATCTCAATTTTGGTTATATTTAGAATTTAGATCATATTTGGCATTTTGCTCAATTTCTTGCCGCCCTGAAAGGGTTAAAAGGCTCATATTTTGATTCTTGTTCGCTGTAGAATTGAAAAATCATGTTTTCTTTCCATTCTTGGTGGGAAATCGAATCTTCACCACTCATTTTCGATCCACCCACAATTGGCAAAGCGCACAGAAATCAATGTGTGGCGACTTTTCCGTGTGAATATTTCGCCATTCTTGAAGAATTTACACCGCGCATTCGGTGTTGAGCAAGAAGAAGGCTGGTGAGGTGGAAAAAAGGGAACATGGACTTGAAACGATTAAATGTTCAACACAATAATTGTGGCAATTAACCATAAATCCCTCTCACACATTTTATTCACTATTAATAAGGCGGCTGTACACATGGCAATAGAATCAATTGTTGTCACACACAAAAATCACCCGCGACCTTGCAAGAGTCACACAAGTGCTTGAATGGGCTGAGATTGCCATCGGCGCTGATGTGTGATTCTTGTGCCGATGAAATCTCTTTCACTCCTCCGTCAGTTTCGCGGCAGAACCAGAAAAGTCGCGCAGCCCAAAAAGTCTGGAATTTCGCCTTTCTTTCTTCGTGTGCTGTTTTTTTTTTCTTCGCCACCAAAAGTGGTCAAATGTTGCAGCATTCTGCCGACAATTCCATCACACTTCTTTGCGTAACGACCCAGAGTGTCATGTCTCGCGATTGGTGTTCACAAAAATATGTGTGTCTCTTTGCTGGGCGTCTGAGATGGCGAGAATTGCACGCAATCAGATTGAAAGTGAGCGAAGAAAAGTGTCAGTGTAGAAATGATCAAGGTCGTTTCGATATCACTTCTCGTCTGATTAATTGCAAATCATTCGAAAAAAACAGAAGAAAAAAAAATCTGCGAGTCCTTCAGGGGCGCGCGCAAGAGAGAGAAATGAATTATGAACCCCTTTTTGCCATCTCAATGTTGGCGAGTTTGAAGGGAATTTATCAGATCGTGACGACGAAGGATTAGATTTCAAGCTGAGGGGAGAAGTTGGAAAAAAATGTGCACTGAAATGTTAAGTGAAATATCATGTAAAAGACGAGACCTTGCTCAAAATATCCAGCAGCTTGTTATCCAGAAGAATACTTCATGAGATTCTTTTCACACGACACTCCATCAAACATTTACTCTGACACTCAAACACGCGAGTGGATTTGGTGTGAAAAAAGGAGTATTTTATTGGCATGAAATATGCATGAAAATGAATAAATGGAACAGGAAAAGAGCAAATTCTTTCTCTGCTCAATTAATTCATTGGGGTTTTCTCACTTTTTCACCTCTTTATCTGGAGCTTTTGCACTGTCTTGACATACTTTTGATGATATCAATTGTGTTGTTGAGGAAAAAAATGAGTAAGATTGAGGTTTTTTGCTTTTTCATAAAGAATTTCAAAAGAATCCGCCCATCATAGTTTCTTTGGATTTCAAGATGATTGATTTCTGAGTAAAATTCAATCCCACTTCTGAATTGTAACTGCATTTCTGCAAAGTCTGAACAGTCTATTGTTGTAATTTTAAGTTAACGGAAAAGATTCATTAAGTTAGCATTCTGTTGTGGTGTGAAATAACATTGGAATAGGCTCAAAATATAGGTAAAATGCCGGGTAGGGCTTGTAAAAGGGCGGAGCATTCAAGTGGGCGGAGCTTCAAACACTCCATCATTTCCTATTGGTCATAGATAGTCACAGTGTGGATTTGTCGTGCTGCTTGGGCCTTTGGTCAACCTGTTCAAGCTTGTCTTCAGTGCAAAACTCGCCTGTGGAAATTCCCAGTGAAGCTCGGTTGGGTTTTTCGCGCGAGCACTGTTGATGCGCGATGCAAAAAGTCGCCCATGTCATGGGAAGAATATGGCGTGTCTCTATTGGAGTGCATTTTGGCAAGCTGACGCTGGTGGCGAACTCAATGGAGGAGTCAATCGTGAATCTCTTGCTCTCTGGCAGATTCTTCCAATCATCCATGGTTGTGCAGATGGGAAAATGTGAGTTGTGTGGCATTATGCAAAGGAGGTGAAAAAAAAGAAGAATTCTTGGTGATTTATTGGCTGATTCTGCCACTGGCGAGATGATTTTCTCCTCCGATGAAATCTTGTGTGTTGAGATAATAATTTACACGTTGTGTGAAATAACAGCGATTTTCCAATATTTTTCAATTCAATGAGGCACGATCGCGCCAAAGAGACACTGCGGCGCATACTTAGCATTTTACATATTTTACATGAGGAGGGGGAGAGATAATGAGGAAAAGAGTTCTTTTTTGCACATCTTCCGATGGATTGCGGATTCCGCGAGTGCTGAAAGGCCACACGATTGGTGGTCCAGGAAAAATTCCCCTCGTCGTCGATGTGTTGGCTTTTCTGGTGGATTATTTCGCATCTTTTTTTTGGGACTCTTGCAGAGAAGAATGTACGGTTTTTTTTTTCCTTTGCTGCGATCGTAAAAGAAATATAGTATTTGTGTGGTTGTGTTTTCTTTGCCATTCGAAAGCCATTTGGCTGCGCGTGTGTGCGAAGCAATGAAAATTCTCTTATGCTCTGGTCTCTTATATATATTTGATGTTATTTTGTTGCCACTGCTGCTGAAGTGTTGGAGGGCTCCCCACTTTTTTTCGCTTTTCTCAGCCATATGCCGAAGAAATATCCACAGAGCCAACAGTCAAGGGGGAGATAGTGAGGCTCAAGTTAAGCAATTGTGGATGATTCGATTCAAAAGAAAAAGTTTTTCTGTTCCTTTTCTAAGTCCTGAACGAAATTAGGCGAATTTCATGGAATGAATGGAATGAAAATGTGATAAAAGTCTCCTTCATAGACATAATTTTAATTTTATTGTTGTTTTTGAGGTTAGAATGAAAAAACATACATAATTTCTAATGTTTCTTTGCGATTTCCATTGAGTTCAAATTGGCTAATCTTTCAATAACAAAACCTAGAAAATATTGTCAAAATGCAGATCAGAAAGCAGTTTGGGGTTGATTAGGCTCTTTTCCACTGCCTGAGACTTGAATATATTGTGTCTGAGCGCAATATCTCCCCCTTGGCGCCAAATACAATTCAAAACACCCGGAGGGGGCTCAGCCAGAGTCTTGCCTCACGTCACTTAAGAAATCTTCGTGGTAGCATTTGTCAGTGAGAGAAAGACGGTTAAAGTGTTCGCGAGCACGCTGCAGAGGAAAAAGAGTGTTGCTCGCGCGCAGCTCGATCGGTTTTGCACACAAGAGAGTTGTGAGTTTTCTCCACGGTTTTTCATATGCTGTTTTTCGAGTTTTTTTTCTTCCCATCGAACACTCCATCTTCGTGTGGCTTTTCTTTGCTGCTTGGCTTCTGTGTGTTTTGTGTGAGTGTGTGCTTTTCCGCTTTCCACGTGTCGTGCTCGCTCTTGGCATTTTTGTTTTTTTCTACTTTTCCTGAAAACGGAGGAAATCTCTGATATATCACGGTATAGTGTTGGTTTCTTTTTTTACATCTGTCTCTAGACTTCTTTAAAAAGCACAGTCTGATGAAAATGGTTGCTTTAAGTTGGGAAGAGAAACTTCCAAAGAGAAACTCAAGAGAGGAATTTCACAGCAAGAAAAGGGGGAAATTCTTGCTTGTATGATTGCAAAGGAGGGATTGGTTTTTGGGATCCTTGATGATCACAAGATCATGCGTAATGTATTGGATTGGAAGATGGCAAGAATTGGTGGAAGAAAAGTCAATGAGTAGCTGAGTTATGGGCAGAAAAAGTGAAATTTGAGAGAGAGAGAGAGAGAGAGAGAGATTGAAAATCAGGCAAAAATACAAGTGTGAAGATCACTGATCATGCACACAGTGCAATTGAGAGAGAGAGAAAGAGAGGCAGTAATGCTGGTATAAAATGGTATTGAGGTGCTTATATGAATTGGTAGAAAAAGAGAGAAGAATGCCCAGATAAAAGAATGACGATGGAGAGTGTGCAATGTTAATAAAGTGCAGTATAATTGTGGCATTTCACCATCATCTGACTGTCTGATGATGGAGAGCTTCGCATGAGCTTCCAAGAAGTGTTGGGATATCATTGAAAGTTGACATGACACGGTGTGAGTGGAGAAATTTGTAGCAAATCTTCAATATCACATTAAAAAAAAAAACAGACTTTTATCAAACAAAAATATATATTTTCATGGCAAATTGTGCACTTGTGTGATATTTTCATTGATTTAATGATTGAAGAATGTGTAAAGTTCTCACAGACGAAACTCTCAATGCATAAGTAAAATATCTATATATATTTAAATTGCATTGAGTTACCATAAAATGCAAAATACCTGGTGAGATCCAGAGTGTGTGATCTAATACTTTCCATTTTCGTTATTATACAACTCAATGGCGATCGATACGCGATCACTGGTGGAAAAGAGTGATCGAGGGTGGGTGAAAAACAACACTAACAAGCCATCAATTGTGTGTATATTGGCGAATGTTACAAGTGGAATGTTTCAAGTGGGAAATCCAGGGTGGATCAATGTTACACACATCTCATGATTGCACCAATTAAACAGCATCGACCACAAGAGTGTGATCATCAAGATCGCGCGCGCGCACTCGAGAGTTGCTGCGAAAAGTGTCTCTCTCTCTCTATGTGCGCGATTACATGCGAAATAATACATATATCGGTGATTGATCAGAGAAAATGACTTGAATATCGCAAGGTCACTGACATGTATTGGCGGCGCGCAATTTAGTGAAAATGCCTGCTTGCGATTTCGAGAGATATGTATATGGTGAATAATATTGTGAAATTTTTAATGGAAATTGTGCACCTTTCGTGGGGTAATTAAAAGATCTGCACCGCGCGAGGAAGAAGAAAAAAAAAAGATAGACACTCTGAGCTTTGGAGGATGACTAGCCAAGGGGGAAAATGATGTCTTCTTCTTGACACTTTACACAATAGTTGTGATCTTAACACTAAATCTCTGCTGATGTTTTCATTTCATGACTTTTCTCAGCTTAATTGAGTCGTTTAAACATGATTTTCACACTCAAAAATTGCATTTTGCCCTTTTTTACCCTCAAATTGGGGTTTTCTTCATATCAGAAAATGCTTCTTCCTTCGCATTCTAACGATATTCTTCCAGCTGATCGATTTCAACACAATTTGAAGTATTTCCTATCATGAAAGATCTAGAATTGCGATATTTATAACATATCGCTCACATAATCTTTGAAGAGCTTTGGGAAGAGCTTTTTCTGAGTAAGATTCAAAAGGAATTCCAGGAAATTTTAATGTATTCAATGAACCGCACAACACACGTGAGAGATCGTATTATTTCCTCCTTGTGTCTAACAGTTGTGCGGAGATAAGAAGAAGAAATCCGCTGGAAGAGAGTGCGCGGGATTAATTTTGTATGGGAGACAAGTGACTTCTTTTTATGGGTGTTCAATTGAAAAGTGGCAAAAGGTGGTTATGTACACTATGTACCGTTTAGTTCGGTCATTATTGCTCTCTCGCTGGGAAATAATAGTCCGTTGTGTGTGGACAAGGTGAGGAGATGTGCGTGTATGTGTGTGAAGAAAAGAGACTCTTTCAATTTGATTTGGGTGTCCACTCATCAAATATTTACACGTCTCACTGGCGGAGTTTGGCGTAGAAGGAAGCTTGCAGTTGGATTCTTGGGTGCTCTGTGGATGGGATTAATGATGTGTTGGGATGGCATTTTGTTGGGCAATATGCAGAAAGTAATTGAAATGATCTTCACGCGCAGCTACTTTGTGCATAAGAATCAAATAGAGGTTAATTTAATGCGGCGCAAACCAATTGGAATTGGCCACACCTGAATATGAGAAATAGAGAAAGAGACTTGCTCGGGCGCTATATTTCCCATTCTCACCTGTCCGGCTGTCAATTGTGGCCACTGGATGGCGAGGGAATTTGTGAGGGAGAATGGTTTTCGGGGGATCTTCACCATCTAGGGATGTTTCTGGTCTTTTCTCCTTCAAAATTCAATGTTTCAATGTGTTTTAGTGACACTTTGTGGTATATCTAAGGCAGAAAATCAATTGAAAGACTATCGACATTTTTCCCCGGAGGCTAAAAGCGATGCTAATGTGGCGGCGGACGCAGAAAAATAGAGGGTAAAAGTCACAAGGCGAGATCCGGGATAAATTTAGACATTTTCTATCAAAGGGTAACGAATTCTAAGGTCTTCGGCATTTGCTATTAATGCATTAAACAATTGAACTGTCTGTGTTTGTGTTTGCAAAAGATCAGGGCATTCCAGCGACATGTCTCATCAATAAAGTGTGCTGACATTAACCTTTTCTTCACCCTCGCCTTGTTGATCGATTTTTTTTTAGATTTTGTTTCTTCTCCTGACACTTTGAGTGCTGCGCGCACGAAGAAAAAGTCCGTTGTATGAATTTCTGCACATGAAATTGCTGCAGATGAATAAAAAATATCATTGACCTTTTCTCTGGGTTTTTTTTGTTGATCGCTGAATTCAATAGAATTCAATAGTGTATTGTGGAGATTATAAGGCAGAATTGGTGCGCGCGCGCGCGAGAGAGAGCATTTGAATTTGCTGTTGAGGAGGGCAAAAAAGAGGAAGAATTTCCTCGAAGTGAATTTCAATAAATTCCAGTATATGAAATATCTAATAATGAGACTTGTTACGTTGGGTGAAGAGTGGAATTTTTGATATTCAGCCGAGAGAAAGATAGCATCATTTGATCATTTTCTGCCACTCTTCTCTATGCTGTTGCTGTGTGGCCCTATTGTAAGTCATATGCAGAGAGTCTTTTGGCGTTTGCCAAAGACATGCTGAAGATGAGAGAGTGAGGAAAAGAAAGACTCTGTGTGTGACGAAGGGGAAAAAGCATTTTAATTATGCAATCCGCGATGGGAAGTTTGAAAATGATTCCAAAAGGTATACTTATTTTCAAACTCATGGGAGAGATAATTGGATTGAAAATGTGCAGCATTGGTGCAAAAAAGAGAGATTTTAACTTTCAATTTTTGATGTCAGTGTCTCCACAAGTGATCGAGGGAGAATTTCGTACACATTTGCTATAGTCTCTTCTATCGGATGAGAGAGGAGAATGTCTCCTGTTTTCTTGCTCTCTTGCTGAGTGAATTGTTCCAAGAAGAAGATGAAGACGAACAAGAGATGTTGAGAAAAAAATGTGTTAGTCTCTTTAGCATGTCTCATGCTTCAATTGCAATGCGTGTATTGGCGAATGTTGTACTCTCACCTTCGGAGCTCCTCTCGAGTGTATCTCGCTCTCGTGATGATGATCGTTGCGCGCTCATCTTTCTCATGCCAATAATCGCGTGTTAGGAGATGCGAATAAGAGTGTAAGGCAGGGAGATAAAAGTCTTGTGACATTTGGCATTTCGAAGTGGGGGAATGATGAACATACGTTGGCTGCTTGGGTTTCAGGTGATGCTCAATTCTAATGATGTTGCGCGCGCGGGAAAATATGTGTGTCTCACCATATTCACCTGATGATGTGATGGTACTGTGGACTATAATGGTTCGCTGGGTGGAATTTCGGAGGCTTTTATAACTATGCCGATGACAGTGAATTCATAAAGTTGACCAGAGAGGAGATATTTTGTGAATTTATTGAACTTGCAGTCGAAATTTTTCAATGCGAAATGCCTGAAATACAGAAATTTCCACGCAATATGACATTGAATGTGGTGAAATATTCATAACACAAAATGCACACTTACTGTGTGTGATTTGGACAGAGAGAGAGAAAGAAAGAGAGACACTTTGGCGGCGCATTGAGTGAAATTGAAAAATTTTCCAGGTGAAATAAAGAATTTTTTGCGTAATTAATCAACAATATAATGTACACAGTGACTTTTGTATTTGATTGACTTTCATAAATTCCACACACTGAGTAAATATCAATGAATTTTCTTGTTTGCTGCAATTGGCGAGCGAAACAAAAGAGCCTCGACAAGAATGGGTGGCGTGTAAGATAGGAGGAATTTTTCGAGACTCTCTGACCACAGAAGGTCACATATTTTTATGCCTTAGCGCCCAGAAGGTATCTTTATAATAACTGTTGAGTATTAGCGAAAGAAGTTGATAAATATGGGTGTAAACCACAGACTGTAATGCATTTTAAATCACACTTTGGGAGATGAAGTGTAAGAAAATTATCTGATTGATGTCTTTCTCTGTGTAATTAGTCTTCAAAATCTCGATCTCAATGATAATAATAGATATCTTAGTGAAAATATTTCTGTTTATGCAAGCATTCATGCATTATCTACGCTCGTTTCTTTTTATTGAATCTGTTCTGGCATCAAAGAGTACTTTATTGGCAAGCCATACATAAAATTACACAATAAAAATTTAGTCTTAATTGGAATTCACTTGTCCAGCAGCTGTAAGAAACTGTTTTTTTTTTCTCTCTGCGCAGCATTACAAATGGAGTATATATAAATTTTTCACGTGCTTTATACACTCACGAAAACCATTCTTGGGCCTGGAAAAATGCGATCAACACTTTTCCAAGGTACAATTTCCATTCAATAAAATCAGTCAGTATTTTTACGAGCGCAGGTGATCGAAATCAACGGCGGCACTTGCAAAGAGGGGGGGAAAGAGTGCTTTTAGACAATTAATGTGCTTTTATTGGGAGAGATCTTATACACTTGATTGCATTTTATTGTGCAGCACGAGAGGAAACAAAAGACTTCCATAATTCTCCTGTGAATAAGATTAGAAAGAAAGAAAATAAAAAATGGAGGAGAATTTGTGGTTTTGCTCCGAAAATATGATTTGCTCTAGAAGTGGAATATGAGAATGACTAAAATATGCAGTTCAAGTGAAAGTGATTAATTCATAACTCATAATCCGCATTGGACCAATATTTTTTCTCTCTCTCTCTCTCTCACTCTTTGAGCATTATGTAAGCCCTGTAATCACGACATGTTAGAGCTATATTGGCAACAAGCAATTATTTATAGTGGCTTTTCTATGAACTTGCTAATTAGCGAAGTCTTGGTGAGCGAAGTCACCTGAAAAAGAGATCCGTTGAGGGTGAATTGAATTTGTGTCTTATAATCGCTGATCATATATAAAGAATGTTTGGGAGAATTGGGTCGCAAATAGTTGGAGAAAAGTATTTTCTTGTTGACTTTACTTCCTCATCAAGATGATGATGTTTTTTTTTCTTTTCCTTTCTTGCTTAAGTCTGGGCGCAAAGGTTTTTTTGTCTTTTAACAGTGTTGCGACGCCTGAAGAAATGTGGTGAAAAATTTAAATAAAAGTTGTGAGCAAAGTGAGAGATTTTTGTCGATAAAAGCTCACTTCGTGTGTGCTTTTATTCTGTGCAGCGCCAAGAGGAGAGGATTACGTGGTTTTTTTTCTTGCTCACCACGTCTGTGTGGGTACAATTGGTCAACTTGCTAATTAATCAAATTGCATAAGAAGCACCTTTTTCAATTAATGGGTTACAATTTTGCCTCTTTGCGCGGCCCATAAAGAGCAGGAGTGAGAAATGAGAGTACATTTTATCGTCAGCCATCTGCAATGAGGCTATTTTTGGGATTCTTTTGTAAAAAAAAAGCATTCAATATCATAAGAGGCTGTTTTTGGGGGAGGAGAAAGACAGAAAAAAAGCAGCGCAAAACATTTCATTCACTTTGAGGATATTGTATAATCTGTTCACGACTCTTTTTCACTCCAACTCAACATCGTGAGAGTTTGGCTATGTGCCACTCATGTCACTTCTCTGAGAGACACTATCGATGGCAGATGATCGTGAAAAAGTCTATTAACGCTGGAGGTTATTAAAGAGTCACATCATGCCATTTGACATCTAAATGTGCAAAATTCCAATCACAATAGACTTAATAATATTTGTCATGATGCTGTGAGAAAAAAATAAGAGAGGGACGCGTTTTTTCGTTCTTCATTTTGGGAGAAAAAGTGTGAAATTTCGTCTTCATAATATGTCAAGGTGAATATTTAGATTAGGCAGGTTTTTTTGTGACTTTACAGACATCTTCTTGTCCGCACTTTTCCAGGTGGATTCTCCAATTTTCAAGTCCATTAATCAATTTGCCATTTTATTAGCAACAACAACGACGACGACGATGGAAAAAAAACTCTCCAATTTCGTTCAGTGCGTGTGTGTATTCTGAGAAGATCTCTCTTCTGCACATTGCTTTATTTTTATATAACATCAATGAATCGTCTTTTTTGTCCGAAGCCCCGATAGACAAATGAATCTCTGTGGCAATGTTGCAATCAAATTAAATTCTATCCTCTTTTGTTGTCTCTCAGCGCCACCGCAAAAGAGCCGTGAGTAATTAATTGTGAGAGAATTTCAATGGTGAAAAGGGCTTTGAGAAGAATGTTCGGTGTGTTTTTTTTCTTTCTATTGCAGTCGATCGAATTCTGCGTGCAAAACAGTTGAAACTAATTATCAATTAGAGAAATATTTGCGTCCTCGACATATTTCGAAAGATATGTTTTTTGCCAGTGACAATTGGGCAGATATAATTTGTGAGGAATTTCAACGGCTCAAGTTCAACTCTTTTCCACACACAAACACACACATTTCTTGCCTTCAATTGGAGAAACATTCTCTGGATATATTGATAAGAGATCTCTTCTTCTGTTGTCTTTGCAGTTAATTCGTGGTGAATGGATGCATGATGGAGAGGATTAAGTGAAAGTGTATTTTAGTTAGATGCAAGAGCAAATTTTTCGCGTGACAGAGATGACATCGACATTTGGCGTGAGGCTTCACGAAGGCTCTCAATAGTGGACAAAATTCATTGGCAATCAAAGCGCACTTTTGACTGGCAGCAGCGGAAACACACTCTCTCTGGACTCTCATTACCTCCTTAGCGTTCTTCATCCACCCCTATTTCTTCCGTGTGGTCTTCTCGCTGAAGGGAGACATCATCATTTGGCCACTACATTCATGTCGAAGAAAAAGGTACGTGGAAATGTTTCTGTACTTATAAAGGTATTTAAGAGAGTTTCTTAAGCATTTTTAACATATTTTTCCCAAAGTTCTTGTCCGATTGCCTAAAATACGACAGATTCAGACTTTATTGCCTACAAATCCTTAGAACTCATAATTTCTGTCAAGCAACAAATTGGGATAAATCAGATGTTAAAGAGGGTGTTTTAGAAAGAACTAAAGATAAGTTACAACTGTCTAGTACATACCAAACACAGGTTATCAAATTGTTCTTCTCAACACTAATAGAATTTCAATGCTTCCTGAAGAGGGGAAATCCAATGGTAAAAAGCTCTGCAAATCACTGGAATCCGGCCAAAGTGACCAAATTTATGTTGAAAGTCTGTTTTTTTTATCCCTGATTCTAGCGTGAGAATCAGTCACTTGTGAATTCATTGCAAGACACTTAATAGTTGTCTCTGAGATATCAACACGAGGCTCAACATGTTGTCTAATGCTGTGCAATGTCTCGAAAAGGAAAAGATTGTGGCAATTGCCCTGCGTAACCTTGATTACATTGGCGTCTCCCGGACAGAATTGTGCCGCTCATTTTGGGAAAGTCCGCACAACAGAAGTTGTGTGTTTGCTGAGCCGCTCTTGTTGGGGTTCTTGTGAATGTCGCTGCGCGAGACATTCTCAGGTGATCCGGTTCGGGCGCGATGGTTTTTCGAGTGCGACTCCCACGCCAGGCGCCGCCATCCGCAAACGCCCGTCAGTGGCCATGTCGTGTAACCTTGTCCGGGTGTGTGTTGGTGAGAGTGCTAAATGTTGAAATATATATTATTTGATAGATCATATCGCAGATCAGCAACTGTTTATTGCTGTTTTTTCCCTTGCTCATTGATTGTTTTGTCTTGTAAAGCGCGCGCGCGCGCGTTCGCGTTCTTTTCCACCAGCGACACAGTGCGCGATTTAATCCAAAAATAGCTGAGAAAGAAACACCGTCCGCAATTGTCTTTTCATCCACTTTGCAACCACTCACAATTATCCATTGATTATGATTTTCATTAATCACAGCACGCGATTTATTTATTGATTTCTGTCGAATGGATTGCGCAGCAGATAAAATCAAATGGCTTTTTCTTCAGCAGAAAAAGGGATTTTTTCACTCTCTTCTGTTTTTGGAATCAATGAGGTGGACTTTCTGCTGCGGCTCGTGGAGCTTTTGGCCAAAAGTTGTGCATGCATTCACAAAAGACTCTGATGGCGCGGCACAGCATGAATAAGTTGAACTGGTTTTCTTCTGGGCGATAAACACAATTTCTCACTCATTCGACCAATTACTGAGAGAATATCACACGATTTTGTGAAACTTGATTTTCTTTCTGGCTTCTGGGCTGTGATAAATGACCTCGAAGGGAGCACAACAACAACAGAAGGGCGCGCACAGAAAGTCTGGAGGAGATTTGGCGTCAAAACATCAAATTGGCAAAGTGTGTGCTTGGCCAAGACAATGTCTCTCTTAAATGCCGGGATTTTCTCTGTGTGTGCGCGCGCATGTGGAATTTGTAAAGAAACTAAACCCGATGTTCAAGTGAACTTCAAGCAACTTCTACTGACTTTTTGCCAGGAGTTTGCCTCTTTTTTTTCTCCTTCAGCTCTCTTATGAAATTTTCTGTATCAAAAGTGAATGGATTTCGAGGTGCCTTTTTCCATCTTATGTCACATGAATTGAGACGTGGAAAAGTTGGAAGGAAGTGTGTGACGAGGGAACCAAAAAAAGAATAAAAAATGCGATAGAAATTCCAAGAATTTCTTAGGTCAACAATGTGAAGAGAGATTGCGAGAAAAGTGCTTTAGAAAAACTGTCATCAATTGTGACAATTTCCTGGCAATTTCTTTCGTGAGTTTTTAACACACTTGAAAGAAAAAGGCCGCAGAGTGTCGTGCTTAGCATTCAAGAATCGTGTTTGTGTGTGTCTGAGTTCAGTGGTCAAGAAAAACCACCAATTACTTGTGCACGTGAGTCAAAATACTCCAGATTGAAGAGTGTTTAATGCCTCAGTTTCGATGCCATCGAGCTGTATATTTACTTTCTATCCGTTTCACTGATAAAAGCCATGTTTTTGCACGGCCGCTAAAGAGGTGCTGATGACGATGCATCAAATATATGTTGTGCGCTTTTGTTGTGCGAAAAAAGTATGCAAGAAAAGTGAGATTTCACGAGGGTCTGAAGATGAAAATGAATTGCTTGCGTGTCTCTTCTTTCGACATCAAAATCGTCTGCCCACAAATTGTTGTATTGAAAATCATTCGATGGCCATCGAGAAGCACTGAAACAAATTGATCAGCAAAAAAAATACAGCTTTGAAAGAATCTCTCCATATAACTAATTATTCCTTCAAATTCATTGAGTAGATCGAGCATTGCTTGGGTGGAGAAAAAGAAACACTGACTCACAACTTTGAATGAACAAGATAAAAGTGTAGTACGATTAATTGAATAACACGCTTCATGTCTCGTTGATATGCTATTTTTCACCCAAGCAGAGTCTCCAAATTAATCAAGAGTCAATAAATTATATCCATTGTGAGGCATGTTTTGTATGCATTTCGCCCAGAGGCGAACAACAATAAATGAGCGAAATCTTTTGAGGCTCCTGTCAAGAGATTGCAAAGAGACAAGACGTGAAAATAAATATGTGGAGCAGCCGAAAAAAAATCATTGAATTAGAGGTGCAAAAAGCGTATCAATAATTTCACTTTGAATCTCAACTCCAAATTGAATTTCACAGTGAATGATGTGTTGATTAATGGCTTTGTCGACAAACCAAGTTAAGATTCTGGATAATTTTATTTTCCCTCTCTTGCAAATGCACAAATGTTGTGACCTTTTGCCAAGTGACCTTTTTGTCTAGCATTATATGGTTTTACTGTCAACTGGGTAATTAAAATTTTGTGATATTTTACTTTTAATTAATCCTTAAATGACACATTTTGGCACAGCGGAACTTTACGATCGCGAAATGGGTGGAGAAACGGAGTGCAATTGGGAAAAGAGCGACACAAAGAGTTGAATGGAATTGTTGCACGTGAGCCGAAAAGGGTGGAACATATATATGAGAGTGTTATGGGTATAAAAAGACTTTCCCACGCAATGAGTGACCGTAAAAATTGTGACAATTTCACATACCATTCACAATTATTGCAAATAATTGCTGAGTATATTAAAAGGCTGTATAACAGCTAATTAGGCGTTGTCGTTCAATGGAATAAGAGAAACAGTTCAGCGAGAAAAGCGGGGGGAAAGAGATATATGTTAAGTGAATTTATGTGCAAATAAATTGAATCGTTAAGTTCGCACAATTGGATCTTTTTTGGTTTGCTGATTTGCCGCGATTATTATTAAAATGTGTGTGCGCGCAAAGTGATAGAGTATAAATACTGCCAATTAATGCAATCTTCCACCCATTTTCAACCTCTCTGGTGATCGTTTGACCCCATCGAATTGCCCAGACAAATCAATTAACATTCTTCTCACACTTTTTCCCGTGTTGTCCATCTGATGATTGAGGAGATCTCTTTTTGCTGGCACACCAATGGTGGGGAGAGAGCGCCATGAGAGACCGGGGCATGTAAGAGAGACCTTTTAAATGCTATAAAATACAAATGGCACCATCATTGGACATCCACATGTGATGAAATTTTCAAAGAAATCACTGTGCGATTCACCAGCAGCATATTTTAAGCGCCGCGCATGTTTCGCTGTGACACGGTGCGCTTCTTCTTCTTCTCTGTTCCAAAAGGCCCAAACGACGAGACGACTGTGGGACTCTCTCAATACCACACTTTCCCATTTTGAATCATCATCGCGCGCGTCCATCGAGAAAAATCGCACTGACAAAATGAAATCATTGAGAAACATGGACATTTTCACACGATCTCATCGATGACTTCTCTGTGGGGTGAAAGAAGTTGAAAGTCAAATGGTAAATTATATTGAGTCGAATGGGGGCTGTCAAGTGTCGCAATTTTGGGGTATTTGTGGGTGAATTTCATGCGGGAAGAGGGAAAATCAGCTGCAATGTGTCAAAGATTGACAGACTTCACAGACAGAATTGATTTTCTATCATGCGGAGAAGAATGAATAATCTCAAATTAATCTTTTAATGTATAGGAAAAATTCTATAATTGCTATTTTGTTAAAAATTTGACATCTTATCTAATAAGATATGAGGATAAAGTTTTCATAAGATTGTCAATTGCTTCTTCTCTTTCTCTTCCTTTCACAATTTTGTGAAAATCATTTTCTCCACTCATTTTTGAGATTTTCATTTGCCGTTTCATGTTCAAACACAGTGTGGGAAGTGAAATTACTACAGCAAAACTTTCGTATAAGAATCAATGAGAAAATTGTTAGAACTTGCGAAATTATAGATGTTAAATATTTTTGTATTTGCAATATACTGAAAATAGCCGACAATTATTACATTACACACACACACAATGTTCCTGTCCAATTTGCACTTTCGTCCTTTCGAGCGTGTGTTGCATAAGCTTTGCGAAATGCAGCAGTTTACGGCCCCCTGGAATTTTATGCAACGGGCTTGAAGTGGAGCAAGTCGGCCCTTTTGGGCGACATGTGGAGTGTTTGGGGGAAAAAATCGCAGAGAAGATTTATGACTCGACACACGACATCATGAATATTGAATTTGTACTTTCAGCAGCACAAGTGAAAATCACTTGGGAAATTTCGCTGAAGAGTGCAGAAAAAAACGGCTCTTTTTTGCCATATTATTCAAGACATCCTAGCGGAATAATGTGTGTATGTGTGTGGAAGGCAATATTGTTCTAAGGCTTTTGCATTTGCTGCTGTGCCAACTTTTCGACTGTCACTGTTGTGTTGGCCACAGAGTCATTTATCAGGAAGTGTTGCTGGCACTCTCGAAAGTCAAATTTAATTGTTATTCACGTGAGTTGGAAGGCGCAAAGCGGCAATCAAGAAATGAGTTAACATTTTGCAAGAAGTTGCCT